CTACGCAGAGTGGATCCCCTTTGGAGATGACGATCTCTGTGTCCTGAGCAGCCACGTATACCTGACCTTCAGCTTGCTTCGGGTCCCAGATCCCTGGCACCACTTCAGCCTTCGCTCCTTCGAAGGGCAGAATGACGGTGTCTCCTTCGAAAACTTGCCGCCTAGATGTCCCTTCCTGACTGGTCACTCTGACCCAGTCCCCTGTCATCGGCTCCATCACGAGGTCCTTTTCACTGACGAACACTTCGCCTTCCATCTTGACCTCATCACTTTCTTCGCCCGGATCCCATGCCTGATCGAACAGGGTCTTTGGGATAGAGACAAATGGATAGGCACGGTCTGGAAACGGCACCATCTCCTCCTTTCTAGGTAATTTCACTCCCAAGCCGTCAAGCACATGGCACGACGCTGCTGGCCTAAAACCAAGTCCGCCGCGCTCCACCGCGTCCAACGCCCGGCCGCCGAGGATCAGGCCTTGCCATGTCGACAACCCTTTGCCGATTACCTTTGCCCGTACGAGGATCTCTTCGACCTTTTGGCCGTTCACGTCAGGCATCTGAACGCGCATCACGACCGCACCCTTCAGCTTGATAGGGGCGTCATTTGCCAAACCCATCACGACTTCTTCTTGCAGCCATCTTTCTAATTGAGCCACCAGAAACTTTTCACTGTCCGGCCCGATCCCTTGCTGCAAAGCTGCTCGGATGGCTCCCATCACTACTTCCTCAGTGATTGAATTACACCCTGCGCAGCCGTCCAATAAGCATCCGACATACCTATCCAGCACTTTGACCTCTGTCTGGTACTGGTACCCCCCTTTGCAGTTTGGCGACTCAGTCCACCAACGCTGCGGGAGCTGATCCAGACTTGTCAGATCATTGTTGTTTCTGTTTCCTTTTCCTTGCTTCCCGGTCTTCCCTTTCTTGCCTTTGGCCTTGGGATCCGTAGCCAGCACCTTTTCGGTCGCTTGGCTTCGGCCGTTCCCACTGCACACCACAGGAGGGTTACTGCATTCCATGCCTCTGCCAGTTCCATCTACACCACGGAGGTCCGGGAGGTTGGCGAGCTGAAGGTGAGGACCAGAATTGCCTTTTCCTGCAGGACCTCCAGACCCCTTCTGCAAGGCGTGACTAAACGGGCACTTGGATCCTCTTGAGCAGCCACCGGCAGTGTTAAAGAATCTACACGCCTTGGACTTGCGGTCGTCCTGCCCGCCCTTGGATCCTCCCTGATCCGCCCCCTTTCGCCCACTACCTTTTCCTTTTCCTCCTTTCCGTCCTCCTTCGTACTTGGCTACTGGCTCTTCGGAAGGCCGCTCTTGCTGCTTCTTTTCTCTCACCCACTTCCTTCTTGCCTCATCCACGACTGCCTTGTCGTGGGAGAACTTGCAATCCTTTCCGCGGGAGCAAGCCCTTGTCCCGCATTTCATAGCACACCTTTGCCGCTCAGGACTCTGAGCCTTGCGCGTGAATCTGGTCTGCTCCCTTCTTGCCATCCTTTCCCACCTGCTTGACGGCAAACGTGCTATTGTTTAGCGCCTTCTGTCCTGCATTTGTCTCCTCTATCTCCTTTACGACTTCATGAGCCTCCTCCCATGTCGCAACTGCACGAAACACATTTCCCCCCGACCCATCTGGCCGAAAACGTCTATCACGTCTTACGTCGCGGGAAAGCGCGGGCCCAATCTTCCTGAAATATTGGATCAAGGCTTCCTTCGCGTTTAGACCAAGCCCAACGCTGTCTCGATCCGCCAGGTGAGACTCCCATCGCACTTCCCACTGGAAGGCGGAGAGTTTCCCTTTCTGAAGGGCATCACCTTCTTCCAAGACGCGAATCTCTTTCTCTTCCGCAGTCTCGGAGAACATCAAATGTTTGGATTTGATTTGCCTGTACACCTCGCCAGGATCTTCCTTGACTATTCCCGAGCCGAGGTTCTTTCGGTAAATCAGCTCATACGTTTTCAAACGGTGCTGCTTCAAGCACGCCTTCACGTGGTGAGCTTTTCCATGTCAGTCATCCCGTCCCCATCATTTGCTAACCCAATCGTGACTTCGAAAGAGTCATAGAACTCCTGGACTGACCAGTCACTGCACTCATCATCCAACGTGGGCCAATGGACTTTTGGGCTGACTTGAATGGTCGAGCGCTTCTGTTTCTTTCCGAGCGCTTCGGCCATGACTTTCGTCTGTTTCTCGATGGCTTCAGCAAAAGCGCTCACATCTACACCCCGACTAACCTCGGACCGAGCGTCTCCTTCCAGCTCGGCGACGCGCCGCTTGAGATCCGCCACTTCTGCAGCTGGCCTCTCGATAGCTGGGCTTCGAAACCCATCTCCGTGGCCTAAGCCCACCGGAGAGCTTTCTCCGCGGCCCCTGCCCGCCGGAGTGTAGTCCAACACCTTCGACGGACCGCTCTTTTCAGGCGTCCCTTCATTTGAAGAGAAGACCTTTCCCATGGTTTTGCTGAGTTTCCCGCCTCTCTCCTGAATCATATGCAACAGGACTTCCAAACGGGCTTCATGCTCTCCTTCTTGCTCTTCAGGTGGATCTTCCAACAATAACTCGCGGAAAAACTCTTTGAGAGAGGCGAGCTGTTCCTCAGGCGTTTGCCCCTGAACCTTTTCGGAAAAAATGGCGCGAGCCACCTTGAGCTCCACTTCTTGCATGTCCACCTCAGCTCCCATTTCTTGCAGGACATCTGCAATTCGGTAAATCCTTCGCGCAAACTTCTTTGCTGTTTCTTTATTCCCATCGTAAGGCCGTGCCATTGCGTGCTCAAGTGCTTCGGCAGTAACTGGTGCCTTGAACACACTTTCGTTGCCGACAGTAGAAGAAGCAGGAGTCGCTCTCCCATCCTCCAGCGCAAACCTATCAGGATGTTCTGTCGATCTCCCGGCGCCGGTGGCCGCACGGTCCCTTCCAGTCCCATCGTCCGCACTCAGCAGCTCTTCCTCCTCCTGACTGTCGCTACTTCCTCTACTTGCTTCTCCTGGGTCTTCCTCATGGAGCGCGCGCATGACCTCGCGCCACAGCTCCGATTCTTCACCATTTGTAGTGGTACCTGAGGTATCCCCACGGCGGCGCGAAGGCCTTTGTCCTTCCGCTGCCCGCCAAGCAAGCCACTCCCTGTACCGCAACCTTTCAGGCCGCGGCACCACACCTGCCTCGATAGCTTCTAGCAAGGTCCCTTCGTATCCTCGGACTTGCTTTGCCATCTCAGCAGTGAGCCTGAGGCCTCGACTGCTTATCCTGGGGTCTTTGACACCGAGTTCCCAGAACAGCCCCCAACTGCGAAAGCGACGTGTCGGCTCGAGAACACCGCTTGACTTTTCGCCACACAGTCGAGGCTGTCAGGCTTCGTGCGCTTTGCACCTTGAGCCAAAAACCAAAAGGCGGGCTCTTTCAGCCTAGCCTCAACCTACCTAACAACAGGAAGAGCAAGCACCTAGGAGAACTCCTGTTTCACAACCTGTTACTACTAGTAAGGCACTTGATTCTACTAGCGTCTTGTTACTACTAGTAAGGCACCTGTTACTACTAGTAAGGCACTTGTTTCTATTTGCGTCTTGTTACTACTAGTAAGGCACCTGTTACTACTAGTAAGGCACTTCTTTCTACTAGCTTCTTGTTACTACTAGTAAGGCACCTGTTACTACTAGTAAGGCACTTGTTTCTACTAGCTTCTTGTTACTACTAGTGAGGCACCCGTTACTACTAGTAAGGCACTTGTTTCTACTAGCTTCTTGTTACTACTAGTAAGGCACCTGTTACTACTTGCTTCTTGTTACTACT